TTTAAATTAACCCCAATTTGAAAATTTTTTTTTTTTTTTTTTTTTTTTTGGCCAATATGATTTCCTGTGACTTTTGCTTCCTTTTAAAAAAAAGAAATTATTATACTAATAATACTATTATATGTATTTATACTCTATTTTTTTTTTAAAGTTCCTCTTATGTACTACATTTAACTTTAGAGACAGAGATGCAATTGTAGAGCGTCTCAGTCTGGGACATTTAATGTTTTCTGTCTCCATCTAGTGGACCAAGTCACTTAGATTGTGCTTTCTGTCTGCAGTGTGCCATGGCTCTGATCTATCTTACAGTGAAGGATGTTTTCCAGCTGATTAACTATTACAGCTTCAGTTACTGGTTTTTCGTTGGCCTATCTATTGCCGGGCAGATCTACCTTCGCTGGAAAGAGCCGGACAGGCCCCGACCACTGAAGGTGAGGAAGTAGAGACTGTTCAGATGAAATAAAAATGTTTTAATAATAACATGCAAAAGTATGTGTGATCAGTTACGGTGTCTTTTGAACACATAAACCCATTACAAACAGCTATACTGTTATATTCTCTACGGTTCAACAGTTTGAGGTTTGTACATTTTAAAAAATATATACTTTTTATTTAGCATTAAGACTTTTATTCAGCGAAGACATTCAATTAATCAAAAGTGACTAAAGACATTTACATTGTTACAAAAGATTTCTGTTTCAAATAAATGCTGTTTTTTAAACTTAGTTGATGATAAAAGAATCCATGAAAAAGTGTATCATGGATTCTACAAAAATAATTCCACTGCACAACTATTTTTTAAAAAAATTGATAAGAATTGTTTTTGATCAGCAAATTAGAATTATTTCTGAAGAATCATGTGACACTGAAGACTGCCGTAATGGATGCTGAAATTATAATTTTTTTGGATCAAATAAATACAGCCTTGGTGAACAATGAGACTTATTACTGACCCCAAACTTTTGAATGTTAGTGTAAATAACTGGTTAGTTAGGACTGGTTCAGAATCTTGAAATAATATCATTCAGAAGGGGAAATTGAAACGACAGATTCAGACAAGCTTTCTAGATTAAGTTTCCACCTTTAGTTGATGATAAAAGAATCCATGAAAAAGTGTATCATGGATTCTACAAAAATAATTCCACTGCACAACTATTTTTTTTAAAAATTGATAAGAATTGTTTTTGATCAGCAAATTAGAATTATTTCTGAAGAATCATGTGACACTGAAGACTGCCGTAATGAATGCTGAAATTATAATTTTTTTGGATCAAATAAATACAGCCTTGGTGAACAATGAGACTTATTACTGACCCCAAACTTTTGAATGTTAGTGTAAATAACTGGTTAGTTAGGACTGGTTCAGAATCTTGAAATAATATAATTCAGAAGGGGAAATTGAAACGACAGATTCAGACAAGCTTTCTAGATTAAGTTTCCACCTTAATATCAGGTGCAATTTTGTGACGCTGCATGTGAATTAATGTTGCTTTCCTCTCTTCTTTGTGCATATAGTTGAGTCTACTGTATCCCATCATCTTCTGCATGTGTGTTGTGTTCCTGGTGGCTGTGCCACTTTATTCTGACACACTCAACTCACTCATTGGAATTGCTATTGCCCTCTCTGGAGTGCCTGTTTACTTCTTGGGTATCTATCTTCCAGAGTCCAAGCGGCCACCCATCATCACTAAACTGTTACGTAAGTACCACAGCCTTTAGCAGTGAAACTTTCATTTGTCCTTTCATTACAGATTTACAACCAAAACGACAGCAACTGATGCTTTTTTTAACACGTGTGTGTCTCCCTTACACAGGTGCCATCACCCGTTTCACCCAGTTCACCTGCTTTTTTAGCAGTGAAACTTTCATTTGTCCTTTCATTACAGATTTACAACCAAAACGACAGCAACTGATGCTTTTTTTTTTTTTAACGTGTGTGTGTGTGTGTCTCTCCCTTACACAGGTGCCATCACCCGTTTCACCCAGTTCACCTGCTTTTGTGTGCTCACTGAGTTAGACACTGTTGATTAGAACACTTGCACCCCGTTTGACACAAACCCACTGGTATGGGGAGAGGAAACCAATATCTGGAGAAACGGGAAAAAGATCTTCTACACTTTTAAAGACACAGATGCACTCTTAATGTCACTGCGTTGGATTCTTCTTTTTCTTAATTATAAAAGGGTTCTGTTAAGGTAATGGTGCAATGAGTATTAGAAATATGACCTTAAGAACCATATGGCATGAAAATGAAGCCCATTTTAAAGCTTTTAAAGGCATGTGCTCATGAACCAAACACCATCTGTATTCCTCTCAGAGAAATGAGTACATAAACAGGATGCAGTGGTTGTGTGTGTGTGTGCCATTATGAAGAACGTGGCCAAGAATTAGATTTATTTATGTTTATGTAACAGTTTTGTTACATAGCCCCCCTTTATTTATTATCTTCCTTATCGTGATTTACTTTGGCACAGATGTGTCAGTTCTCTTACAGTTTTTGGAGTGTTCCGTCTTGGCCAGAGGGTTCACGTTTCAATTTATTTATATAGCACATAAAACAGCCACACAGCTGACCAAAGTGCTGCACAGAGATTCAAAAATAGTAAAAAAAAATCAGCACAACCAAACAATTAAAACAGGGTCTCGCCCTAATAATAAAAAAGTAAATATAATAACACAAGAGAAACAAAGTATAAACCCTTAGAAGACTAAGCAAAGACCATAATAGAAAATTATTTATAAGCCAAAGAAAACAGATATGTTTTTAGGAGAGATTTAAAAGTGGACAGAGAAAGGGCAAGTCTAATCTCTAAAGAGAGGTTATTCCACAACTGTGGCCCAACCACCGAGAAAGGTCAGTCCTGTATAATTACCCACATGCCTTAGCTGGTTTTTAGAGGGAAGGTGATTGTATGCATTTGAACATTCAAATCTGCTGCTATGCTTCTGTACATGTAGTGAAGCATCACATGTTCGCTTGTGGAAAGCGTTAGGAAAGAATAAAGATGAACAGGGTTCATACACATTTACCAATAAATTTCCATTAATTTTACATGACTTTTGAGACAATATTCATGACCTAATGTTCCATTATTTTACAAGTATACATGTAAAATAATAAAAATCTATGTTAAAATGGACCTCTATTATCTGTGTTCTTAAATTCTGTTAACTTCAATTTCAGAGATTTCAGTTTTAAACCAAAAAAAACAGTCCCAATGAAAACATATTACAATACTAAGTGTCATGAAAATTGCTCTTGAATCATTCAGTTTCCAGAAAATCATCTTTAAATGTCTGTTGGCCAAACAAGCAATACATTGTTACTAGTGAAAATCCCAGTAATCTCAGGATGGAAGTCCAGATGTGATTTAAACAGGTCATTCTGATAAACGTTTACCTTGTAGCATGAAACACACTGAACAGCTTTCCAACTATTGTCATTTATGTACAAGTGTTTCTATTAATTTATTTGAAAGAATATCAATAAAACTTATATATATATATACACCAGACAAGAACTGTTTGAATAAGTAATTTACGAGATTTGCAGTTTAATTCTGAAGTCTTTATCATCTTTAAATGTCTGTTGGCCAAACAAGCAATACATTGTTACTAGTGAAAATCCCAGTAATCTCAGGATGGAAGTCCAGATGTGATTTAAACAGGTCATTCTGATAAACGTTTACCTTGTAGCATGAAACACACTGAACAGCTTTCCAACTATTGTCATTTATGTACAAGTGTTTCTATTAATTTATTTGAAAGAATATCAATAAAACATATATATATACACCAGACAAGAACTGTTTGAATAAGTAATTTACGAGATTTGCAGTTTAATTCTGAAGTCTTTATTTTTTTTTTTATACACATCTACATATTTACAGGTATTTTGTTTCTCACCCCTTAGATACGGGGAATGTACAAACACTACACACATAACTGACAGCACAAAGCACCCCACACTTATACAAACTCAAAATATCACCATTTTCTCTCCATACCATCTTCACATCAAACAAATTGCAAAATATCGCAAATAGTAAATCACTCATCTCATTAATGCGCAAGTCAAAGCATCCCACACAAGTACACGCACATGGGCTACCACACACATTCACTTTTGACAAAAGAACATACAGCTTCACTCAACACACGTCAGTAAAAATGGCCTCTCTCATGCTCGTACCTACACACACACACACACACACACACACAGAGGCTCTCAGTCATAATCATTATACTCTCGTTCCTCCTCATCTTCATTCTCATCTCGGTCATTCTCCAACTCCACTATCATGTCCTGCTGGTACTGATCCCTGCTCCTCCTGCTGTATGAGTGCTCTTCACTCCAGCAACCTGGAGAGAAAAATACATTAGATGTATGACGATATTCAACCTGCGCTTAAGGTCTGTATTGAGGGTGTAAACCAGGTCTTCAGAAAACAAGACTAGGAAAGCGTCAGGCCCAGGCAGTGTTTCATCTGCCGGTCCAAATCTCTGTGCTGACCATCTGGCCCCCATTTCACACAGGTCTTCAACAGATCTCTGGAGCAGTGTGAAGTTCCCTGCTGCTTTAAACGCTCCACTACCATACCGGTCCCCAAAAACAAAACAAAATCACTGGACTTAATGATTACAGACCTGTGGCTGTCACGTCTGTGGTCATGAAGTCATTAGAGAGACTAGTCTTGGCCTACCTAAAGGACATCACTGGACCCTTGCTGGATCCTTTTCAGTTTGCCTACAGAGCAAACAGGTCTGTGGATGATGCAGTCAACATGAGACTGCATTACATCCTGCAACACTTCGACAGACCTGGGAATTATGCAAGGATCTTATCTGATCATGCCTGATCTTCTCTCAGCCAAACTGACCCAACTCTCCACACCCACCTCCATCTATCAATGGATTACCAGCTTCCTGACAAACAGGCAGCAACTAGTGAAGTTGGGGGAACTCACTTCCAGGACCCTCACTATCAGCACTGGTGCCCCTCAGGGTTACGTTCTCTCCCCACTGCTCTTCTCCCTGTACACAAATGACTGCACCTCTAAAGACCCCTCTGTCAAGCTCCTGAAGTTTGCGGATGACACTACAGTCATCGGCCTCATCCAGGAGTTGAGGAGTCTGCTTACAGACAAGAGGTTGAGCAGCTGGCTGTCTGGTCCAGTCTTATCAACCTGGAACTCAACATGCTCAAAACAATGGAGATGATAGTGGACTTCAGGAGAAACCCCCCTGCACCCCCCATCATGAACAGCACCACCATCTCACAGGACCTGAAGTGGGACATTCACATTGACTATTGTAAAAAAAAGCCCAGCAGAGGCTGTATTACCTTTGCCAGCTGAGGAAGTTCAACCTGCCAGTCTGTCCTGTGTTCATCTGTAACTGTTTGGTTTGGCTCAGCTACCAAATCAGACATCAGGAGACTAAAATGGACAGTCAGGACTGCTGAGAGAATTATTGGTGCCCCCTGCCTAACCTCCAAGAACTTTACACCTCCAGAGTGAGGAAAAGGGCTGGTAAAATCACTCTGGACCCCTCACACCCAGCACACTTCCTATTTGAACTGTTGCCCTCTGGCCGGCGCTATAGAGCACTGTGCACCACAACAGCCACACAAAAGAACAGTTTTTTCCCCAGGACATATATTCCACTTGAACAATACATCTCAGGACTGCACATCTGTAAATAATTTATCAAAACTTTCATATGTAAATTGCACATATGCACACTCACTATTCTGTCTATTGATTTTTTTATTTTTCTCTATATTTCATTACCATATTATATTCTTTATTTATTGTCTTTTCTCTTTATTATTAGTGTTTTATTTCACTTTATTACCTTAAATTATATGTATGTTTGCACTATGTCTGTACTTTCTGTACTGGAAGCTCCTGTCACCAAGACAAATTCCTTGTGTGTGTAAACACACTTGGCAATAAAGCTCTTTTTGATTCTGACAAATGTTTTACTTTAAACCACAATATAATGCTCTTTTTAGAATTATGACATAGTATTGGCTGTTATAATATACATCATAAGTCGATTCAACTGCAAACTATACTCTTTAATAAGAAGCTATTTGCTTTGTTCCTTGTTTTATTTATTTATTTTAAAGAAATCAAGCAAAATTAACCTTTAAAAATGGTAACACTTTATTTTAAGGTGTCCTTGTTACACATACTTACTATTATTATAACAATTAATTATGCATAATTACATGCAAGTAACCCTAAGCCAAACCCTAATCCTAACCACATAGTAAGTACATGTAGTTAATTAATATTACTCAGCACTTAAATGTATAATTACACTGTAACAAGGACACCTTAAAATAAAGTGTAAACTAAAAAAAATATTCAAAAATGATGGGCCTGAGAGAAAAAAAATATATAGCTTAGATGTATGACCTCCATAACGCTCCTCTGCATCACTGCCATCCTCACTGCTCTCATCTGGGTAGTCATTTCTCCAGTTGGTTTCAGCATTCTCATCATCCTCATCTTCATACACCTCTTCCTCCCAGGCCACTTCATCAGGGACCTGTGTATTTAAAAAGAGTAAGAGTAAAATCAAAAACAAAAAAAACCAAAACAAATGAAATCCAGGTAAAAATGGTGTCAGAGATGTTCTACTAGCCAGGGTTATTATCATTAACATTTATTAAAACTAAAACTGTAAAAAAAAGCATTTAATTGAAATTATGCTCAAATAAAACGAAGTATAAAAAAACTAAACGGAAATTAGAAATGCTGCTTGCTAACTAACTGAACTAATTTTAAGTTGAAGCACTAAAATCACTAACTGGATATAAACTAAATGTCAACTAAAACTAAGAAATAAACTAAATTGTAATATAAAAAAAACCTAATAATGACAAAAAAATTTGACTAAAATTGAAAATATAAAAAAACAAAAGCTAATACAAAAATATAATTAATAAAAACTATAACAGTATATAAATAATACTAAAATAACACTACAACTAACCAGCTCTCCCTCTTGTGTGTAGGGTCTGACAGACAGAATGTCTTGGATCCAGCCTGGTGCGGCCGTCTCCTGGTAGTACAAGTCATACACGTAATCGTCCTCTTTCTCTCGATGTTCAGTACCGAGCCCATCACCTGACACGCTCAGCTTCTCACGAATCATCTTCACAGAGTTACACAGGATTGTCTCCGGGTCAGACACAGTCTGGGGAGAAAGAACAATTATATTTTTGGTCAGTTTAATAA